TAATTTCTTCTTTTCCAATTTGGATTCCCTTTATTTCTTTTTCTCTGATTGCTGTAGCTAGGACTTTCAAAACTATGTTGAATAAAGTGGTGAGAATGGACATCCTTGTCTTATCCCTGATCTGAGAGGGAATGCTTTCAACTTTTCACCATGTGATGCCAGCTGTAGGTTTGTCATATATGGCCTTTATTATGTTGAGATATGTACCCTCTATGCCCACTTTCTGGAGAGTTCTTTTTTTTTTTTAATCATAAATAGGTGCTGAATTTTGAATTTTGTCAAAAGGTTTTTCTGCATCTATTTAGATGATCATATGGTTTATATTCTTCAATATGTTGATGTGGTGTATCACACTGATTTGCAGATGTTGAAAAGTCCTTGCATCCCTGGGATGAATCCCTCTTGATCATCAGAGAGGTTTACTAATGACAGATTTATTCTTGGCATTTCATTGTCTTATGACTCAAAAAGCTGACACTTTGTATGATTTTTTTAATGTATTCTTGGATATGGATTGCTAGTGTTTTGCTGAAGACTATTTGCATCTATATTCATCAGTGATATTAGCCTGTAATTTTCTTTTTTGTGTGTGTGATGTCTTTGTCTGGTTTTGGTATTAGAGTGATGGTGGCCTCATAAAATGAGTTTAGAAGCTTCCTTCCTCTGTAACTTTTTTGGAATAGTTTCAGAAAGATAGGCAATCTACAGATTCAATGCAAGACCTATCAAATTACCAATGGCATTTTTTGCAGAATTGGAATTAAAAATCTCAATATTTAAAATGTATGGAGACCCAAGACTCCAAATAGCCAAAGCAATCTTTAAAAAGAAAAACAGAGCTGGAGGAATCAGGCTATCTGACTTCAGACTATACTACAAAGCTACAGTCATCAAAACAGTACAGTACTGGCACAAAAATAGAAACATACATCAATGGAACAGTATAGAAAACCCAGAAATAAGCACAAGCACCTATGGTCAATTAATCTATGATAAAGGAGGCAAGACTACACAATGTTGGAAAGACAGCCTCTTCAACAAAAGGTGCTGGGAAAACTGGACAGCCACCTGTAGAAAAAAATGAAATTAGATCATTCCTTAACTCTACTCACAAAAATAAACTCAAAATGGATTAAAGACCTAAATGTGACACCAGACACTATAAAACTTATAGAGGAAAACATAGGCAGAACACTCTCGCATAAAAATCACAGCAACAACAACAACAAAAAATCACAGCAACATCTTTTTTGACTCATCTCTCTGAATAATGGAAATAAAAATAAAAATAAACAAATGGAACCTACTTAAACTCAAAAGGTTTTGCACAGCAAAGGAAACAATAAACAAAATGAAAAGACAATTCAGATTGGGAGAAAATATTTGCAAATGATATTACTGATAAGGGCTTAGTCTCCTAAATTTACAAATAGCTTATGACACTTAACAGCATAAACAAACAACCCATTCAAAAAATGCCCAGAGGACGTGAATAGGCATTTCTCCAAAGAGGACATACAGATGGCCAATAATAGTTACATGAAAAGATGTTCAACATCGCTAGTTATTAGAGAAATGCAAATCAAAACTACAATGAGACATCACCTCATACTGGTCAGAATGGCTATCATCAAAAAACCTACAAACAACAAATGCTAGAAAGGGTGTGGAGAGAAGGGAACCCTCCTACACTGTTGGTGGGAATGTAAATTGGTATAGCCACGATGGAGAACAGTAGGGAGGTTCCTTAAAAAACTAAAAATAGAGCTATCCTATGACACTGCAATCCCACTTGTGGGCATATATCTGGAAACAAAACATGATTTGGAAGGACACATGCACTCCAGTGTTCATTACAGCACTGTTCACAATAGCCAAGACATGGAAGCAACCTAAATGTCCATCAACAGAGGAATGGATAAAGAAGATATGATAATATATATGATGGAATATTACTCAGCCATTAAAAAGAATGAAATAATGCCATTTGTAGCAACATGGATGGACCAAAAGAGTGTAATACTGAGTGAAGTAAGTCAGACAGAGAAGGAGAAATATCATATGACATCCCTTATATGTGGATTCAAAAAAGAAATTATTCAAATAAACTTACAAAACAGAAAGACACTCATAAACTCAGAAAATGACTTATGGTTGCCAGAGGGAAGGGATAGTTAGGGATTTGGGGAAGGTCAGGTACACATTGCTATATTTAAAATGGATAACCAACAAGGACCTATTGTATAGCACAAGGAACTCTGTTCAATGTTACGTGACAGCCTGGACGGGAGGGGGGGTTTAGGGGAGAATGGATTCATGTATATGTATGACTGAGTTCCTTCCCTCTTCAACAGAAACTACCACAACATTTTTAACCAGCTATATCCCAATACAAAATAAAAAGTTTAAAGTCTGAAAACAAGAGTACTTGTTTTTTATGTAATGGCTGCACTTGGTTACAGGGTTTTAAAAGTTCAGGTTTTCAGTTGGCTTAACTGTCCCCTGCTGCAAGGCCACCTGCAGACTTTTAAAGTTCCACTTTATGGCCTGTTCTACTACCAAAAAATGGCCCACCTACCACCACATAATCAAAGGCAATTGATTTATAGCAATGATTTGCTTCCCTGGTGGCTCAGTGATAAAGAATCTGCCTGCTAATACAGGAGACGCCTGTTTGATCCCTGGGTTGGGAAGATTCCCTAGAGAAGGAAAAGGCAATTCACTCCAGTACTCTTGCCTGAGAAATCCCATGGACAGAGCAGGCTGGTGGGCTACATCCATGGGGTCACAAAAGAGTCAGACACGACTTAGCAATTAAACAACAACAAATATTCATCCAACGTTCCAAGACAGAGTGCAAGAAATAAGTCAGAGGCACAAGATCCACCCCAGTCTAGGCCTGCTCACCTCCCCAGCATTGTATGTGTGTGTTAGTCGCTCAGTTGTGTCCGCCTCTTTGCTATCTCCATTAACTGTAGCCTTCCAGGCTCCTCTGTCCATGGGATTCACCAGGCAAGAATATTGGAGTAGAGTGGGTTGCTATTTCCTTCTTCACGGTATCTTCCCAACTCAGGGATCGAACCCGGGTCTCTCTCATCGCCTGTAGATTCTTCACCATCTGAGCCACCAGGGTAACCCAATTAATCCTCTAGAGTTAACTGCAAACGCATTAACTGTCCCCTGCTGCAAGGCCACCTGCAGACTTTTAAAGTTTCACTTTATGGCCTGTTCTACTACCACAAAAATGGCCCACCTACCACCACATAATCAAAGGCAATTGATTTATAGCAATGATTTGCTTCCCTGGTGGCTCAGTGGTAAAGAATCTGCCTGCTAATACAGGAGACGCCTGTTTGATTCCTGGGTTGGGAAGATTCCCTAGAGAAGGAAAAGGCAATTCACTCCAGTACTCTTGCCTGGGAAATCCCATGGACAGAGCAGGCTGGTGGGCTACATCCATGTGGTCACAAAAGAGTCAGACATGACTTAGCAACTAAATAACAACAAATATTCATCCAACGTTCCAAGACAGAGTGCAAGAAATAAGTCAGAGGTACAAGATCCACCCCAGTCTAGGCCTGCTCACCTCCCCAGCATTGTATGTGTGTGTTAGTCGCTCAGTTGTGTCCGCCTCTTTGCTATCTCCATTGACTGTAGCCTTCCAGGCTCCTCTGTCCATGGGATTCACCAGGCAAGAATATTGGAGTAGAGTGGGTTGCTATTTCCTTCGTCACGGTATCTTCCCAACTCAGGGATCGAACCAGGGTCTCTCTCATCGCCTGCAGATTCTTCACCATCTGAGCCACCAGGGTAACCCAATTAATCCTCTAGAGTTAACTGCAAACGCGCCGCCTACTCAGCGCACTTCCCCACGCTCGAGTCTCAGCTCCCACCCGCGGTCTCCGTCATGCCTTCTGTGGGTGTGATGCCAGGCGGCGGCGGGAACTACGAAAACAAGAGGGTTAGAGGATGCCGGCGGAAGGTCGGCAGAGACCTTTAATTTTATGTACGTTGGTCAGGAGAATCTCTCCCGTGATTGACAGCTGAGCAGATTTCTGCGGGAAGGGTGGTACCGAGTTCTCCGAAGAAAAGCGGTCTAGACCGAAGCGCTTAGTGAGTGAATGGTTCCATCCCTCTCCAGAAAAGAGAAAGCAGAGTGTGAGAACCGTGATAGAACGAAGAAATCGCAAGTAGTGCCAGGCTTTACCTTAACCTTGGCACCTAGGGTACACCACCCAGGAGCAACTCAGGACCTGGGACCAGATGGGACTGGGCAGATCGGAACTGCCCAAGTGAGGGATCAGATTCTAAGGAGGTTTGGAATCACACTTAAGACTTCCCATTCCACAACCCTGGTCGCAGAGCCCGCCCTTTAGGCAAGGCTCTGGTCCACTTAGATGCGGCCACGCCCCTTCAGGTACAGCTTCCTCCTCGCATCGCCTACACCTGTGACACTGAACTCACACAAACCCAAGCCGGGGTCCTAGTCCCTCTTCGCCTCCTCTAGGGTCCGCCTCCCTCCGGCCTTCGCCCCTCGCCTCATAGGGCCTCCGTTGTTGTTGTTCAGTCGCGAAGTTGTGTGCGATTCTTTGCGACTCAATGGACTGTAGCACGCTAGGCTCGTCTATCCTTCACTATCTCCCCGAGTTTGCCCAAATTCACAGCTTGCCTTCCAACTCTGGCCCTAAACCGCTTCCGCCCCGCCTGCGTTGTGGGAGTGGCCCCGCCCCTACGTCCAAGACTCCACCCCCCGGCGCTCCGTGTTTGAAGACCTGAGCTTCAAGGATTGGTCAGAGGCGGAGACATGGGTTCCTAATTGGTTTTGTCGTACAGCCTCTTCCCGCAGAGCAGCATGACCCGGAAGTGATTTCTGAAGTGCCGGCCGCGTGGATTTGTGCCTTGAGTGCTGGATTGCCACTGTCGCTGCCATGACCAAAATAAAGGCAGATCCGGACGGGCCGGAGGCTCAGGCGGACGCGTGCTGCGCGGAGCGCACTTACCATGAACTGCTAGTGAATCTGAACCCCATCGCGCAGCCTCTGGCTTCTCGCCGCCTCACGCGGAAGCTCTACAAATGCATCAAGAAAGGTGCGGTGGACGCCGGGCCGGGCCGGGGCGGGACGCGGGTGGCAGGCCGAGGGCCCCCCTGACTGTTCTGTCGTTGCAGCCGTGAAGCAGAAGCAGATTCGGCGTGGGGTGAAGGAGGTTCAGAAATTTATCAACAAAGGCGAGAAAGGGTAAGAATCCCCCTACCCCCCGCCGGATTTCGGGGATGGTATCCTGCTACTTAACAGGTAGTTGGTAAAAGTGCTCCGACTTGGGTCGTATGCAGAAGGTACATTCCCTTCCGTACAGATGTCGATACCGCTTACAAGAGCTCAAAGGGACACCTTGGGGAAGGTGAATTCCAGGGGAACCAAATCGTATAAGCCAACTTACTTAGGGTTGATCCCAGCTTCATTCACTTAGCGACTATTTACCGAGTGTCTACTGTTTTTCAGGCACTGTGCTATGGGGAGACAATGGCAGTAATCAAATACACACAAAATTACAAGTTGTCATGGGTAAGCATGAAGGAAAAGTACAGGGTGCAGTGAGAATGATTTCATTATCTTACAGCTTTCCTTTTTTTGGCATTTTTCAAAATCTGAAAATTATTTGCGTTTTTATTCCCTGTCTCTTTCACTCAGGCCAGAAAGTAAGCTCTTTGAGAACAGAATAAAGCCTCTCACTGCTTTATTTTCAAAAGTGCCTGGTACATTGTAGGTGCTCAAGAGCTAAATAATGCTGGGAGGATTTGGTGCTCTATGGAGTCTGACCTCGGTGGGGTAGCTGAGGTCTGAAGATATAGGATTAGTTTGTGGCTTCCAGGTTTGGGGGGCATTCTGCCAGAAGAAAGTAGATTCCAGGCCAGGAGAGGGTAGTAGTGGATAGAAGTGCTCCCTTCTCATGGGACTCTGTAAGTCATTGTAAGTTTTTTTGTACTCAGGAATTTTGGAAGCCAATGAGTGTTAAAGTGAGGGGTGACATAATTATGTTTACACCTTTAGAAGGTTTTTCTGGCAACTTTGGAAAAGATGAGAGGTGGAAGAATAGATGGAGAAATTGAGATCGGTGGCTACTCTGGTGCAGAAGAGATGAGAACAATTTTGACTGGGTTATTGATGGCAGAGATGGAGAGAAGTGAAGTGGATGGATGAGAGGACTTTTGCATACAGAGTGAGGCAGTGTGGGCTCCAGGCAGATGAACAGAGGGCCTGTTCACTGAGACAGTGAACAGTGAGGGAGCCAGGTTTGTAGGAGATCACGAGTCTGGTTTTAGACAAGTTTTCAAGGTGCCTTTTAAACATGGGATCCCTCTCCCTAGCAGAACTGTCAAATAGGCAGGTAGCTATATGGGTGTTCAGTTTGGGAGACGGTTGGGTTGGAAAGAATAGATTTGGGAGTTATCGGTATAGAGTTGGCACTTGAAGTCTTGGTTACAGATGGGGTCGGCTGAGAGAACGTACTGACAGAGCAGAAAGACCAGGCTGTGGGAATACCAGCATTGAAAGGCTTCTCAGGAATTTCCTGGCAGTCCAGCGGTTAGGACTCCATGCTTCCACTGCAAGCGGGCCAGGGTTCCATCCTTGGTTGGGGAACTAACATCCCACAAGCTGCACAGCACGGCCAAACACAATAAAGGCTACTCAGAGGAAGCAGAGCCTGCAGAAGAGGAGAGTCTATGAGCCAAAGGAAAACTAGGGAGTGTGGATGTAGTGCTTTGAACCCAAGAGCTCTTTCCTTGTGTTTTCCTCTCCCCTAGAACAGACTCTTCCTTCTGTCATCAGGGCTCCTGAGGCCCTTGTCGCAGAACCCCATCACCTTGCCAGCTAGAACAGTTATAGATTCTCTGGCAAGCTTTCCTTGGTTCCCTATCACTCTTAGGAATGAGCGTTGAAGCACTCAAGACTCTTACATGTGACTAGTTTTTCTAGCCTTCTTGTCAGCCTCATCTCCCTATCCTGGACTCCAAAGCCATCCCTGGCTCCCAACAACAGCCATCCCCTGTGTATCTGGTATCTTTCTGATTCTGTCAACCTTAAATGCTTTCCCTGCCCCCAGCCCCTCTATGGGCTTCCTTGGTAGTTCAGTGGTAAAGAATCTGCCTGATCTGGGAAGATCCCCTGGAGAAGGAAATGGCAACCCACTCCAGTATTCTTGCCTGGAAAAACCCAATGGACAGAGGAGCCTGGCGGGCTACCATCCATGGGATCACAAAGAGTAGGACATGATTTAGTGACTGACAGCAACAAAGCCCCTCCATGGGCACCTGACAGATGTTCATCATTCAGCATTCCTCTCAGGTGTTGCTTCCTGATTCCTTTCTTGCTTGTCCAAGGAGAGCTGAGCTCTTACTCCTTGGCATCTCTCATACTTCATCTGTCCCGGTACAGTACCTTTTGTCACACTTAGTGGCATTTACTTGTTGCCAGGCAACAGAGATCACCTCCCCAGAGGAATGCACTCACCAAACAAATCTTAATGCATTTCTTGAGTTTGGGAGACATACATGATGGGGCTCCTTGAGGGCAGGGGCCAGTTTACCCATCTCTGTAGCCCCCAAGACCCAGCTCAGTGGCCTCCCTTATGACTGAAAAGGGAACCAGCAAGCTGGGAATGACATTGGTTTCTCTTATTTCAGGATTATGGTTTTGGCAGGAGACACGTTACCCATTGAGGTATACTGCCATCTCCCAGTTATGTGTGAAGATCGGAATTTGCCATATGTCTATATCCCCTCTAAGACGGTAAGGAGCACCTGAGCCCCTGATCTTGGTCAGCACCGAAGAGGGTCTGGGATCAGGTTGGTGGCAGCAGTCCATAGTGGCAAACAGCATGAGCTTTGGAGCTAAAGACAGGCCTGGATGGATTCTTGGCTCTGCTGCTCCCCAGATGAGGGAATGCACATAAATCACCTCTCTGTACTTCTACTTTCTTGTAAAATGGGACTGTGGGAATGAAACAGAAGGTGAACTTGAATGTGTCAGTCCTGTTAGGTGGGTGCAGTGTTCAGAAGGGATGTTCTAGGGACCTGCAGCTGTGCTTACCCTTACATAGCAGAGGCCAGGTCTGGGCTCCAAGGGATGGGGAATAGTAGGACCCTGGAAAGCATAGGCCCTGCTTAAGGGGACAGCCCTTACTGAGCTGGAGCCCTTTCACAGTTGCCATATGGAACTGTAGGCCCAGTGTCACTGGACTACAGCTTGAAAGTCTGCTGAGTTTAAATGGTGGCAACCAATTCAAAATGTAACACTGACTGACTAGCACATGTCTGTGGGCTCGATTAGGCTGGTGGATCATCAGTTCATGACTCCTTGGTGCACAGGTTGTGTGGCGTTTGTTCCAAACAGCCTTTGTCCCTTCTCTGCAGGACCTGGGTGCAGCCGCTGGCTCTAAGCGCCCCACCTGCGTGATAATGGTCAAGCCCCACGAGGAATACCAGGAGGCCTATGACGAGTGCCTGGAGGAGGTGCAAGCCCTGCCCCCGCCCATGTGAAGGACTTAGGCACAACCTGGGCACCTGCTCCAAAAACAGTTGGCTTGGTGGCGGGCCAGTTGGCTGCCCTCCTGCTGCCCACATTCAGGCATCTCCGTGGTTCCCTGAGGCACGTATTCTTCCTAAGCAGCTCCAACAGTGACTTCACAACGGCAGAGCCAGCATCTTCTCCGTCAGCGCTGTTTCCTGTTGAACTTCAGTGAAGATAGTTACAAGAATGTGATGTGGGGGGAAGTAAATCCTAAAACTAAAATGTGGTGAGTCTGTGGGTGTTTTGTTTTTTTTTAAGTAGCAACTACTGGTGGGGCCAAGTTGTTGGTGGGAAGGAAAGAGCAGAAGTAACCTTTCTCACCAGATGACCCTAGGACTTCAATAATGCTCAGTGTGAATGTTTGGCCACCAGGGTCAGTGCTGGACTCAAGCTGAGAACGGACCCTGCTACCACCCTCAGCTTTCCACTCTACTTCTAGAGTAGCTGGGAGCTGCAGGCAAGCCAGCTGAGCCCAGAACCCACCCACTTCATAGAGCCTGTAGTTCCTATGTTGGGGACACCCCCATTCCTCTTTTCTTTTTCCCCCAAGAGCCTTAAATGCCACTGGGAAGCTGACAGACACAATTTACCCACCCAGACAGTAAATTTTAAGTAGGTATATGAAAGCTAAATGCAGAATCCCAGGCCATTTCTCCTACTTTGCCATTATGGCCCTGGTAACCTCATCTCTTCAAACATTTTAGACTTACAGTGCCTTCCTGCTCTCAGAGGCCCAGCACAGACTCAGTACACACAGCAGCCAAGCTTCAGGCACCCTGCAATAAACTGGAAGGACCTTGGGCTTGAGGGTTGGAACTGGTTTAAACTCCAAGCTCTCTTCTTGATAAGTTGTGAGCCCTTCTGGGCAAGTCATTTCATCTTTCTACATCCCTTCACGCTCGTTTCTAACAAGGAGGTAATACAATTATGTGTATGTAAAAGCATCTTGCCCAGGGTTTGCCATCTCCTTGCATTTTCTCCCAATCACATGTGGTTGGGTTCCTTCCAACTGCACTCTGTGGCTGCCATGCTCCCAACCAGCATGCCCAGAACCTGTGCACGGGGGGGCACATGGTAATTCTTTGCCAGTGAAGCTGAAGGCAGGGAAAGTAAGGAGAAGGCCTGTGCATATATTTGCTCAGTTATAAAACAACGGCATTCAGTTCTATCCCGGACTACAGTGGGGAAATGACATAGAGCTGTGAGGCTGTACAATGGGAGGAAAGGACACAAGCCTTGGTGGAGCAGGAAGAGACCTGGCTTGAGGGCAGGGATGGAAGACATCTGCTGTGTCCACCAAGTCCTTTGCTATTCTGTCAGTTGCCACTTAAGTCAACAGCAAATATAAAGAGCAGGAGTACAAGACGCCAGAGTTTCCCTGCCATTAACAGTCAAGAAGCCAGTTGCCTGCTGTAGGCTGTCTCATCTCCCTCCTTGGCCTCTGCCAAAGGGCCAGCCCTGCTTGTGGTGGCAGTCCTCAGCCAGCTGCTCTGAAATGAACCAGAGTTCATGGAAGCCAACCACCCCCACCGAGACAGACCAAGGCTTGTGGGTGAAAAACCTCTTGCAACAAAGTTCCTCCCCAGCAGGAATCAGAATATGATGCGTTTCCCATCTGCTGGGTTCTGCTCCATAGGACAGTAAGGACACTTCAGCCTACAAAGGGAGAAAAACCAAGAATGTCTCAGGTGGCCAGCCAGCAGAAGAATCAGCCTAAGGCGGAACAGAACCCCAGGAACTTACTTTCCTCCGTTAATGAGCTTGTTGAGTGCATCTCGGGAGATGACATGGCCACAGATGAGCTTAATGGGAGGGTTGGAATCCGACGTCTGCTGGCGGAGGATGGGGCAGGCGAACACTGAGTGGTACCAGCACTTCATGCCGAGTTCAATCTCAATCTGGGGAGGCCAACAGTGGGGTGAGTCCCACTTCCTGTGGCGGCTGTCCTCCCCAGTGCTTCATGCTGTACCGCCCCCTGCTGGGCCTCACCGGTAACTCGTCCTTGTGACTCCAGACCCCAGAGCACTGCCTCTGCTCCATCACAGCTTTGATATTCATCAGCACAGGCAGCGCCACACAGCCAGAGGCAAAGCTGCAGAACAGAGAGCAGAGGCTGGAGTGACCAGCCTGACCAAGAGCCCAGCAGACAGACAAAAGGACCAGCACACTGTGAGTACGTGACTCAGGACAGGGTTTCAAAGTGGCACTTGATCAAACCAGTCCTTAAAAATCTCTCAGGTCACGCATAAAGCTACATATGTGGTTCTGTGTCTTAACTCTAGAAAGTCATTCTAATGCGCCCCAAAATTTGGACAAAAGGAATATCCAGGGGACAGATCCCTGCTCATCCAGTGACAAGTCCTTGGTGTGACAGGGACACTCATGTCTGGAAGGGCCGCCTCCTGCCTGTGTCCCCTTCTGTCATCACAGCGCACCTCCGTAACGGGTTATCACCCAGGGCACTTAGAAATGAGAAACAGTAGATTCAGTTTTCACTAGGATTGGGACGGGGATGGGGAACCAACTGACTGGAGCCTGGGGTGCCAAACCCCTACAGAGCAGGTGTGCAAACCGAACCCTCCTAAGGTGCCTGTGTTCGTGCTGGGGAAGACTGTTCTGTAACCAGAGTCCATGGGAACAAACTGGAGGATGGAGCCTCTCATGACCAGGCAGGCAAATGTGCCCCATGCGATTCCACAGCCAGCCTAAAGAAAATACACCACTGTGGTGCAATATGTGGTGGGGTCAGGTCCAGGTGACCTTCATTCCCTGTGAGGCCCTAGGAGCCTCTGTTTCTTCCTGGAAAATGAGGGTTACAGTACCTGTAACTCTTCGGTTGGTTTGAAGCCATGAGGAGAAAATTACTGTAAAGAAGCCTTCCAAGTGAAAGCTCTCAGCACCTGTGACTCAGCCACTCAGTCTCCCTGAGGGAAGTGGTGTTTGAGACCTGAGGTGGCCAGAAGGCTGGGCTGTCAGAGGGTCCTGTGATTACCCAGAGGTGAGGTGCAGGAGGCACGGACTTCATTCAAGAGACCTCACAAAATGGAAACCTTGACTCTGCCACTGACCTTGTGGTGACCCCAGGCCACAACTCAATCTGTTCTCCAACTGTAGTGTGTGCTGAGTCACCTCAGCCATGTCCGACTCTTTGTGACCCCATGGGCTGTAACCCACCAGGCTCCTTTGTCCATGAGAATCTCCAGGCAAAAACACTGGAGTGGGTTGCCATTTCCTCCTCCAAGAGATCTTGCCTGCCCAGGGATTGAACCCACATCCCTTATGTCTCCTGCATAGCAGGCAGGTTTTTTTACCACTAGCACCACCTGGGAGGGGTGCTAGAAAGAAATTCCTATCTAGAAGAGTGACTGAGCAGCCAGTTTGGGTCTGTGAAGGCACCGAACACCATCCCTGGACAGGGCAGGGCCTTGGCAAGTTGGGTTTCCCTCGGCCCTCCCACCTGGACTGCCCCCACAGGGTTGACTGTACCTGACACTGAGGGGCGACTCCACAGAAAGGCCCAACAGGGAACAAGCATCACGTGTAAAGGTCTCACAGATCTCGGCCCAGTGGCTGTTGTCCAGGAGATGGCAGTAGGGTGACTTCTCCAAACCCAGCTGCAGGTACACTAGACTGCCCATCATCACCTGGATCTCTACAAGGCAAAGGGGAATCAGGGTGCAAGAGGCAGCCTTTCTCCCAGCTCTGCCTCCAGTTCTCGGGTGGCAGGGCTGCAGAGACAGTATGGGGAGCAGGCTGTGCCCCATGGCTCCCAGGCCCATGACCTGGCCAATCGAGGGTTAAGATGCCCTCTGGCAAAGCCAGTTTTCCCTAAAAATCCAGTGAGGAAGTAAGGTTTCAGGGCTGTTTCTGTGGCAAGCATGACCCCACAACATGAAGCAGGGAGGGGTTTCAGTTTCTTCCCCGCCCTTCCAGCTGCATCAAGGAGTGGGTCTCAGGCTCCTGTCCCTCTGTTCCAGTACTAGCTAATCTTTTTTTTGGGGGGGGAGGGCATGCCATATAGCATATGAGGCAGAGCAGCTAAGGGCATGCATGTTGTAGGGGGCCACCCCAGCACCCGGGCACGTACCCCGCTGGTGCACGTGAGCAAAGGGCTGGAAGTGCCGGGCGTAGCTGAGGGCTTCCAGCTGCTTCTCAGGGCCATCCGCCAGGAGACGGATGAACTGCAGTCGGTGCAGCTTGAACTCCAGGGAGCTATTGAGCTCCAGCAGGCGCTGCCTGTGGGAGACAGCCCATCTGGGAAGAAAGGGGCCAGCTGAGTGGGAGCTAGTAAGGCAAGAGAAGGGGGGCCTGGCAGGGCCTCCAAAATCTTATGTGAGGCCCGTGAGACGGGGCTGGAGGTGTGTCAAGTATGCTGGGTGACGTGAAGAGCATAGACAAGCCCTGTCCCCTGTGGGACCGCCCAAAGGCCAACGTACTCCAATGCTGGCCCCAGGTCTTGTTCATGCAGAGCTTCCAGGATACGATTCAACTCCAGGAAAGGCTGCTTGAAATCCAAGTCCACATTCAGTGTTGATTCCTAGAGGGAGAGAGAGCCATCTACCACTGGAGGACTGTGTTTCCAAACTTCTCTGCTCCACACCTAGTACAGCCTCATCCACCAAAGACAAGCTAGAGAGGGGCCATGGTCTCCTGCCAATCCCTTGGACTCCTCTTTTTTCCAGTTCAAGTTCTGGGAGGCTGAGTGCTACATGCTGAGTAGCATGGAGAGAAAATTACTCTTTTTCAATCCCCCTAATTACATTAAGGGAAAGCATCCTTTACTTTCACTGCCAGGGTGTCATTTAACGCCTAACAAGTGCAACTTTGTCATTTTACTAGTCTTCCCTTTTAATATTATCAGGCACTGAGAACTCTGGTGGACAACCAAATCTAGCTAAAAATTAATTTCACTTTTTATTGTATGTATTTTGTAGCTACTTTCCATTGATGGAGGGGCACTGATTTCTAAAATAAATTTATTTTAAGAAATAACAAAAGCAAAACAAACAAGTAGGACTACATCAAACTAAATTTAAAGCTTCTGAAACACTAAAGGAAACCATCAACAAAATGAAAAGGCAACCTACAGAATAGGAAATAATATCTGTAGATTGTGTCATCTAAGGGACTAATATCCAAAATATACAAAAACTCAATAACAAAAAAAAAAATTCTTATAAAAAATGGAGAGAATATCTGAAGAGACATTTTTTCAAAGAAGACATCAAAATGGCCAACAGGCACATGAAAAGGTGCTCTACCTCATTAATCATCAGGGCAATGCAAATCAACACCACAACGAGCCATCACCTCACTCCTGTCAGAATGGCTGTTATCAAAAAGACAAGAAATAACTGCTGGCAAGCATGTGGAGAAAGGGGAACCCTAATGCACCTTTGGTGGGAATGTAAACTGGGGCCGCCACTGGATAACAGTATGGAAGTTCCTCAGAAAATTAAAATATAGCTACCATATGATCTAGCAATCCCACTTCTGGGTATTTTCCCAAAGAAAATGAAAGCACTAACTTGAAGATATCTGCACCCCACCCCCATATTCACTGCAGCATTATTTACAATAGCCAAGATAAGGAAACAACCTAAGTATCCGTTTATGGATGAACAGATAAAGAAAATGTGGTGTGTATATATATATAACCTGGTGGGCTACAGTCCGTGGGGGTGCAAAGAGTCAGACACACGCGACTGAGCACGCATGCATTCAGCCATTAAGAAAAGTGCGGGGAGAAAAAAAAAAGTGGGGAAATCCTGTCATTTGTGATAATATGGATGGGAGCATTATGCTAAATGAAATGTTCCAGACAAAGACAGCTACTGTATGATCTCACTTATATGTGGAATCTAAAAAGTCTTTAAGAAAACCAAGCTCATAAATACAAAGAACAGATTGGTGCTTAAAAGAAGTGGAGGGTAGGGTGTGGGAGCAATGGATGAACTATTTTTGTTGTTTTTCGTTTTAATAAATTAAATGCAATTTTCAAAGTAGAGATTAACTCATTTAAAGAAAAGACTGCATCAGTGGAAACAAGGTAAAGGCACACAGTCTTGAAGGACACCTTGGACTTCCCATGTGCAGTCCAGAGGGGAGGGTGCCCTGCCAGGCCAACTGTCCACGGGAAACGGGTCTCTGGGAACAGGCGTTCCCATCAGACAATCAGAGAGTGATGACACACATGTTTGAATCATGTAAATAAACTGACCTGTCTGGATATATAAAAAAAAATAATGGGGTCCTAATATAAAGAAAGCTACCAAGCAGAAAGCAGAACAGGTGGGCCCCAGCACCTCCCCGGTGAGCCCGTTACCTGGCACAGCTCCTCAGCGACGCTGAGCATGCCCTGCTGATACAAGTGCTCCAGGATGGCCATCTGCAGGGTCTGCTGCTGCTTTTCCCGCGAGTCCCACACTGCGTCGGAGACTACACCGCAAATCTCAGAGTCAAAGTTCTGCCAAGGACGAGAGACAGGGCCCTGTGACTCAGGCCTGCACTTCTCACACGGGCTTCCCGAGGAGCCCTGCTACATACGCGCTGCCACAGGTATTCCCGCCCCCAGTCTGGAGCTGCCACATGCTCACCCTGTCAATGGCTTTGCCCACTCGGGAAACACTGCTGTGAATGTCCTTGTGGTCTGAAGCCAGTTTCTGCACGGTGTCTTTTATCTTCCGGCAGCATTGTGACATAACCAGGGAGAGGGTGGCTGACAGAGGGGTTCCCTGGACGGCTGCAGAGAAACAATGGTAATGCGTCAGGACTCAGACACAGAGGAGCAGACCTTGTCTCAGCTTCCCTATTCTAAATGCCAGCATGGAGGCCTGGGAAGCAGCCCTAAACTCCAGAGTGAAAGACTCAGCTTCTATTCCGGGTCCTGCCACTTTTTAACTGTATGACTTGGAATTAGCCAAGTGGGACAAGCCGATTCATTGCCTGGAGTCTTCATTTCATCATCTGTAAAACAGAGGTGATAGCACCGGCCGTGGAGGCTGCTGTGAAATGAAGACGTTCTGGCACTTACTGTGAGTCAGTACTTGGTTTCAGCTCATTTAATCCTCACTACCATTCTGTGCAGTGGCACTGTTAGTAGCCTACACTCCAGCTGAAGAAGCTGAGGCAGTAACTTGCCAGAGCTCACAGCAGTGCCAGATCTGAAGCCCTGGCTCCTCACCACCACACCGGAAGGTTCCCTAACATCTCAAGGGAGACACTGTGTGGGAAGGCTTTGAATCGTAAAGTATTATCCCCGCATTAATGCCTCTAACCCAGAGGACAGCAGGCAGGCCAGGGTCCATCAGGGAAGCACAAGGACATTTCTGTCTCACAATACAGTGCTTTCCACCCCCATGGCTCGGTGAACCGCATGAACTACCAGAAGCGTGTGGGGCTTGGAATAGAGAAGAACAGACAGGTCCCTTCTTCCAGCCAGCATCTCTGCCCCTTCTTTAGATGGTAGCCTCTGGGTTCAGGGAGGAAAATATGACCCAGGGAAGATAACATGACCCATGAGGACCAGGGAGTGTCTCAGCTCCGAGACCAGAAGCCCTGGAAGAGAAACGCATTCTGCCAGCTTCCTAAGCAAACAAAATGTGAAACTCCTGGAGTTGCTGGAGCACCACGGCCACCTCCAGAGAGCAATGCTCTGGAAATGAAGTCAGTGTAGATTGAAGGCATCACATGAGCACCCAGATCCCACTGGGCGGGACCTTTCAGTTAATTGAGACTACATATCCAGCAGCCCAACTCCCCACTTTGTGTTTGTTTAAGCTAGTCTGAGCTAGGTTTCTGTCACATTTAACTGAATGAGTCCTGACAAATACAAACAGAAGGTGGTGGCTGGGCCTACTCCTACTAGGATGGCTATAACCAAAAAAAAAAAAAAAAACACCAGGTAAAAACAAGTGTTGGTGAGGATGTGGGAAAATTGGAACTCTCATATATTGTTGATAGGAATACAAAAAGTTGCAGTTACTTTGAAAAACAGTATGCCAGCTCTTCAAAAAGTTGAACAGAGAGTTACCATATGACCCAGCACATAAAAAAGAATGAAGTAATGATTCATGGTACAATAGAGATGGACCCTGAAAAAACACTACGTGAAAGAATATAAAAGGTCACATATTACATGATTCCATTTATATGAAGTATCCAGAACAGTCCACAGAAAGTAGGTTAGTGGTTGCCAGGGGCTGGAGGAGAAGCAGAAATGGAGTTAATAAGGTAGGAAGTTAGACATGAGCAACCAGGGGAGGCCTGGCTGAAAGGGATGCAAGCTGATCTCTAAACTTCATCCCAACTAAGCAAACAAAATGTGAAACTCCTGGAGTTGCTGGAGCACCACGGCCACCTCCAGAGAGCAATGCTCTGGAAATGAAGTCAGTGTAGATTGAAGGCATCACATGAGCACCCAGATCCCACTGGGCGGGACCTTTCAGTTAATTGAGACTACATATCCAGCTGCCCAACTCCCCACTTTGTGTTTGTTTAAGCTAGTCTGAGCTAGGTTTCTGTCACATTTAACTGAATGAGTCCTGACAAATACAAACAGAAGGTGGTGGCTGGGCCTACTCCTACTAGGATGGCTATAACCAAAAAAAAAAAAAAAAACACCAGGTAAAAACAAGTGTTGGTGAGGATGTGGGAAAATTGGAACTCTCATATATTGTTGATAGGAATACAAAAAGTTGCAGTTACTTTGAAAAACAGTATGCCAGCTCTTCAAAAAGTTGAACAGAGAGTTACCATATGACCCAGCACATAAAAAAGAATGAAGTAATGATTCATGGTACAATAGAGATGGACCCTGAAAAAACACTACGTGAAAGAATATAAAAGGTCACATATTACATGATTCCATTTATATGAAGTATCCAGAACAGTCCACAGAAAGTAGGTTAGTGGTTGCCAGGGGCTGGAGGAGAAGCAGAAATGGAGTTAATAAGGTAGGAAGTTAGACATGAGCAACCAGGGGAGGCCTGGCTGAAAGGGATGCAAGCTGATCTCTAAACTTCATCCCATATACACCCAGAAGAGCTCACAGATTTGCTACAAAAATAGCCAGAGATGTTTCCAACTCCTGCACATGCATCCCAGACACACAGTGGATATAAACTAACCACAGGGGCTTCTCCAAGTAACCTCAGGTAGCTAGGAGCCTATTAAGGGTTCATAAATAGTCTGTCTATATATATATGATTATATACATATATGATTATATGCATATATGATTATAAATATGATTATAACATGTATATATGTATGTATGTATATATGATTACCATCAGAGTGAATTATGGGAAGACATAAACAACAGAACCTGCTTTTATATAACTTGCAATTGTCAATCAGCCTTGAAGGATGTTCCCAACCCAGGGATCGAACCCAGGTCTCCCTCACTGGAGGCAGATTCTTTACCAGCTAAGCCACAGGAAGCCCAAGAATACTGGAGTGGGTAGCCTATCTCTTCTCTAGTGGATCTTCCTGACCCAGGAATTGAACTGAGGTCTCCTGCATTGCAGGTGGATTCTTTACCGACTGAGCTATCAGAGAAGCCCCTATATATATATTATAACATGTATATATGATTATGACAGACTGAATTATGGGAAGACATAAACAACAGGGCCTGCTGTTATAGAACTTGCAGTTGTCAATCGGCCTTGAGCATACACCCATTTGCATTCCCTTTCATTGATTATTGGTGGGTACAAGCCCTATTCTGCACAGGGCATAACCAATAGGAGGCGACAGGAAGTATAAAAAGGGGGAAGCCAAGAGGGAAGGGGAGGACAACTCCTTTGGGGTCGGCCTGCTCCCAAGTCTTTTGAGTGTCTGTCTTATAAAAGATCTGTCTGCTTGAGCTGAACTGAGCTCTTAACTTGTCTGTTGTTTTAAACCCTTTAGTTCATTGTTCCAAATTTTTATTGTGACAGACAAGAACTGAGGGAGAGAGATAAACTGACCTGACAGAGTGATTATTAATGGGTGGGGGATTCTTTTTAGAGAAATGAAAATGTTCTGTATTTAGTGGTAATGATTGTACAATTCTGGAAATATATTAAAATCCACTAAATTGTATACTTTAAAAGGGTAAGTTTTAATGTGAGTTATAGCTCAATTAAAAAAAAAAAGGACATAGGAAATAGGGGTTACCTCTGATCAAATCTTAGACAACTTGATGGTAACAGTAATGGATTGTAACCCATTGAATAAAATAAGAATTTATGAGCATGAACTTAAGTAAGGAAGATGGGCAAGCTTCTTTCTTATGTTAAATGTCTATTAACAAGTGTATAGGAAATGATAGAGCAGGAAAAACCACCTACGTTGAAACTAACTCTGTAATGATTTGTTCAGGGAAGAATTGTCAAGCGATGTGAAAACCAATGAGGCAGAGCCTTTAAAAAGCACAGCAAATGCATATAGTCCCAAAGTATCTCCCCACAAATTACTTATTAACTCTAAAGAAAGAAATATTAACATTATTAGGGTGTAGGAACCCTGCAGACACCATCTTAACCAAGTGATCAAAGTTAACATCACCCATAATGGAACAAGCTGATACCTTGTACCTCCTGATGTGATGCACTGAGAAGCACATCAGTTCTGAAGTAATCCTGCCCAAAATGCAAAAAAAAAAAAAAAAGATGAGGAAACAGCAAACAAATTCAAATCAAGAGACATTCTGCAAAATCACTGACCTTAATGTTCCCCAAATGTCAATGTCCTGAAAGACAAAAGCACGTGGTAGAAATGTCCCAGACTAAAAACACTGAAGATCAGACACAAGAAACTATGTGCAGTGCTTGATCTTAGATCAGAGCCTGGACTGGGAAATAAAATGCTTTGTGAAATTACTTGGTAATGGCAAATTGAAATATGAGCTATATTCATTAGCTATATTCACTTACTTTTTTATCTTAACATTTACTTCTCTCATAAAGAAGTTACTTTTTAAAAAACTACAATGTAGAGAAGATGAAGGTGAAAAAGGAGTTTTTGAAATAACTATGAATGTTCTTCTACTTCAAAAACTGTCTGACATCTGCATCAGAAGACTTTCTGCATCTATCAGATGCATCTGTCTACATCTGTCTTTCTGCGTTTTCCTCTTCATGTGCCACAGAAAGAGTTCAACATACTTTACAAAATCCATTACATTGAAGACCATTTCCCATATCTGCTACCATAAACCAAGAAATCCATTTATTCCAGGTTACTTATGGAGAATTAGTCACATGGAAAAATTTAACACTTCTTTTTCAAAAATTAAAGTACTTTACTGCACTTGGCATTCCTATACATAATGATGTGAACTCTGAAAGCATTGGGACTACCCTAGTGGTCCAGTGGCTAAGACTCTGCGCTCCTAATGCAGGGAATGTAGGTTTGATCCCTGGTCCGGGAACCAGATTCCACATGCCACAACTAAAAAGGTCCTACAAGCTGAAACTAAGACCCAGTGCAGCCAAATAAATAAATTTTAAAAAAAAGAAAAAAGACTGAAAGCATTAATGGTATATAATTAAAATTCATGGGCTTAGTTAGATATTTAAAAAGTTTTAATACTTAGAATACTCTGTAACAAATATTGCGGGACAATAAATCAGAATATAAACACAATGTACTCTCTTTTGGATTTCTCCTCTGCTTAAGTGGTGGCATTATATAACATACAAAGTTGTTCCAAAATAATTGTACATACTTGCTGTAGCCTCAGAAACAAAAAGAAATCTGAAAAAGTAAGGCCAAAAGAATAATGGGTATGACGCATAAGGACCAAAAACTCATGAATTCCTCCATTTCTAAGGATTTCTGAAACCTACCTTCCTAATTTCAAGGGAAATTTTACTCAAAAGAGAAAAATAAAAAACACATCCCACACATTTACAGCTTTACTGATAGGGTATAGCCATTATGTCAAATTCAGCCATCAATGTACAACCTCATTTCCCATTTAAATTTAACAAGAATATATTTTATTTTAAATGGGACACAGTGGCAAAGTTGGAGAAGGCAATGGCAACCCACTCCAGTAATCTTGCCTGGAAAATTCCATGGACAGAGGAGCCTGGTGGGCCACAGTCCATGTTGTCGCAGAGTCAAACACGACTGAGTGACGAACAAGTGGCAAACGGCCGTGACTTGAAGAATAACCTTAAAGTTCATGTACACTCTGATTCTCTCCAATTCCTGCTTTTCATACTTCAAATATCACAAAAAGCATTAATTACTCAAATCATGAAAGCACAATGAAATAACTGCACAGAAAAAAATGGACATTTAAGTCATTTCATTCTTTCTTAATACTATATAGTGAAAACAGATGTATTTATAACTTCAGCATACTTCATAAAATCATTATTCATCAAAAATAGACAAATGTTTACAAAGAACATTTAACTTAAATTTCATAATTGCTTATAAAATGACACTTGAAAGAGTGACCTAATAAGTCTGATCAAGAGACAGTAAACTATAAATACAAAATATACCCCAATGTTGTTTGGGGTACACGTGTATACATTGCTATATTTAAAAAGCATAACCAACAAGAACCTACGGTATAGCACGTGGAACTCTGCTCAGTACCATGTGGCAGCCTGGATGGGAGGGGAGCCCTGGGGAGAACGGGATACATGCACATGTATGGCTGAGCCCCTTCACTGCTCACAGGAAACCATCGCAACACTGTTAATCAGCTATACCCCAATACAAAATAAAAAGTTCAAAAAATATATATACCACAATGTTAAAAACCTCATAGTGTTCTATAAGAAAATCAATAAAGGCAGCAATCTTACTGAGGAAAAAAGTATTCAGCATTACACATTTAAAATGCAAGTTTTATACATGAATTCAATAAAGGATACATTTAAACCTTACAATACCACATAATCATCATCTATTTTGTGGAAAACAATAAAAATTATGTACTTTTTAATAAGTGTATGTCAAAACCAAAAGGTTAATTTTTACTTTTTCCTTTATTGGCAACTTTGGATGCATTATTAGGTTTTGGATCCCAGAGGGTATTTTTTTTACAAATCTCAAAGCTGCACCGCTGTCCAACTTGCTAGTCTTTTTCTTGCCTGTTATTTTTTGACTCTGTTCATGTACACTCTGATTCTCTCCAATTCCTGCTTTACTGGATGTTCCTTAGGACTGACTCCACAAGTTGCCAAATAAACCCCAAACACTGAATTTAGTATGTAAGCCAGAGACTAAATCCACTTTACCTGTTCCAGTGGGTTCAACTTCTGCAACATCTCATTTCTAGAAACAGACATCTTGGTCTTCAGCATCTCATCCACACCACCAATTGAGTTCTCAAAGGTTGATAAATATTCATGAATTTCTACTGGATAGTCCTCATTAATTTCCTCACCTGCCATTACCATCAACTGGCAGACCTAGAGTCTACTCCTGCCTCCCAGAAAGTAGTCAGTGGCTTATTTAACTTCTTGATTTTAATAATTACACTGAACTTATGTAAAAGAATGCCCTTGACCTTTAGGTCATACTTAGCTGTATAATATCTGCAGCTTACTTTCTAGTGGTTTAAAAAGTAATAAGAATATGTGAGAAAACTGATAAAACAAATACGGCAACATATTAGCAGTTGGTGAATCTAGGTAAAGGGGTATATATGAGCTCTTTATACTGTTCTTAGAACTTTTCCGTAAATTTGAAATCATCTTAAAATGTCTTAAACATTCAAAATAGAAAAGTAAATTGAAAATTAAACGTAAATGATCTCAGGTAAATTAACAATTTCTGTTGGGTTTTCTGAAATAGCTCAGAGACTTCCACTGTCCCCTGCTGAAGAGGCCTAAGGACCCATATTATCCATGCCCTAACCACCATCCTTCCAGAACTCTGTCATCAAGCAGCCTTGGGGCCTCCGGGGCCCCTGGGGAGGCAGACGTGGGACTCCCGTGAGGGGACACCCACCTGTGCTGGCCAGCTCGGCCCGCAGCTGGCCCACGTGGTGCAGTAGCTCCTCCAGGCTCTGCTCACAGCGCTGCCCGTAGGTCAGGAACCTCTGCAGGACCCTGTCCACCTCTCTCTCCACGCTTGCACACTGCTCCATGGCCGCCACCTGGGTCAGAGGGGCAGTGAAGAGGGCTTCCAGACCCCACCCCACCATGCCCATATCACATGTCAATGCTCAGAAATCCCCAGCCTAACATATATGTACACAGCTTCCATAACCCCCAGCCAGGGTGCCCGTGGGAGGGTGCAGGGAGACACAAGGACAGGGGTTTTCTGGATCATGGTAAGAAAATTACCCCTGTTTTCATTGTTTTCAGCTCTTCATTAGAATCTTCATTCATCTCTCTTCCTTTTTTTGGCTGATCCCAGCATGCAGGGATCTTAGTTCCCTGACCAGGGATCGAACCTGAGACCCCTGTAGTGGAATCATGAAGTCTTAACCTCTGCACCAGCGGGGGATTCCCTTCATCTCTTTTTTTAACCAAAACGGAGAGCAGGCCTTGCAGAGCCCTCAGTAGGCAATACTATCTATACTCCATCACAGCTCCATGCCTTGGTATGGTCTCTATCACCCTTCACCTCCTCAACTGCTGGAGAAGATGGCCCATCAGAAGTCATCTTCTGTAGCTACCCCTAGGCCGCTCCCACCTGGCTCCCTCCACTCTCACTTGGCACCCTTCTATTTCAGTTTTGATCACTGGGTAATGATCTGTTTGAGGGCCTGCCTCCCCCACTAGACTAGAAAATCTCTTGTTGTAACACAACTTTCCTTCTCTTTACACCATTGAAAGAGAGTTGGCTTTTCTTGTCCTACCTTTCCTACCACTGAGGTCCCACTGCTAAATCCCTTCAACACTGGGCCACCGCTCCCTTCCGTTTCAGAGCAGCCTGTGACACTGAACACATAGACAATCCTTAAAATGTTAGTGACAGAGTTGATTTCACTGCTCATCCCTCCATCTACAGGATTTAAAGTGAAAGTCATTCAGTTGTGTCCAACTCTTTGCGACCCCATGGACTGCAGCCTGCCAGGCCCCTCTGTCCATGGAATTCTCCAGGCCAGAATACTGGAGTGGGTAGCCGTTCCCTTTTCCAGGGGATCTTCCCAACCCAGGGACTGAACCCAGGTCTCCCACGTTGCAGACGGATCCTTTACTGTCTGAGCCACCAGGGAAGCCCTTCCCCCCAAAAAGTGACAGGGTTCTGTCCAATGCAACTCTCAAATGATCAAATCTAGCCAGTTGTTCTCTCTCTCAAAGGGTACAGAGTAATACCACAAAGAGAGTTCTGTGTCCAAAGTGACCATTGGGATTCTCCCAGTTTTTACCAGACTCTCATCCCATTCCCACCAGCACTGTTAGTTTGGCCCCATCATCTCAGCCCAACCTGCAGCCAATGTCACCTTATCAAACAGGTGATGAGTGATGGAGAAACGGTACACAGGGCCTTGAGATGTATTCATGTCCTCCCTTCTTATGGTTGACACTATCACACTAGAATTTGTTCATCATCGTGTCTAGAAAACGTGCCCCTCTTTTCATGCTCCCTGAAGAAATACCCTATAACTGGATATGAACCATTACAAGCGAAATATAGACGGATACCTGTTGGAAATAATATACTATAATTATTACTATTAATAGTTAATATTTCATAGGGGCTTATGTGATAGGAACTATTCTAATGACTTGGCATTAATTAATTTACTTAATTCTTACAATTGCACTATGAGGCAGGTACAATTATGAGACCCACTTTACAGAACACAAAATGAAATTCAGATTAAATAAACTGCTCAAGGTCACATAGCTGCAAAGTAGAGGATCTCGAACTAAAGCTGGGCAGTCTGGCTCCAGAGCCCCTCTCTGAAGCATTCTGCATCACAGTCCTCTCTGGACCAGCTTAACAGGCCACCATCTCACCAGGAAAGGAAATCAGCCAATATTTGTGGTTGGAATGAGTATACAGCAATGATTCATGATGACAAGAAACCGGAAAGTAACCTTACAGCCTATGAGATGATCAACTACGAAAGAGGGCAGTACAAAAGAGTATTTGCCAAAAGTGTCTGGGAACCAGAATCACAATTTACCAAAAATAAACACAGCTCAAGAAAGGTTAGGTCCTCACCAACATCAAAGAGTATGACCCTGTCAGACATCAACTAATACCAGGATTATTAAAGGGAAGCCCAAGTCAGCAACTTGAAACTGAATTAAAAAGCCAAGGAAGGAGATAGAATTTTTATCCCAGGGCTGTGTGTTGTGGCAGGGAGCTTGAGGCAGCTCAGGAGCCTAGAGGAAGTTGTAAGTCTAGGAAGTAAAATCTGGGAGATGCATCTGTGGAACCTGGGGTAGCACTGAGAAACCACAGCAACATCAGTAAGATCCCAAAACATGGTACTGAAGGAAAAAAAGAAACAAAATTAAGTCCAGGCAGAATACCACTACGCACTTTTAAAATATAAGTATATAACCAAGGACACACGCAAATAAAAGGATATGTATCAAACACATAAGAGAGTGGCTTTCTGCAGTCAGGGCGGAGGTGAAGGGAATGGAGGGAGGAATAGGGATAAAACAGAAATATGCAAACAAATGCGAAGGAGAAAAATGGCCTGTGTGGATCAGTTAAATGTACCATAAGCTGACAAATGTGATTACCTCAATAAAATTTTTTTTAATGAACGAGATGGGAAAATAGAACTGCCTGGAGTGATTCCATCTGAAAAGCCCAAGAGGCCAATGCAGTATGTCCAGGGTAAGCCACTCTGTCTTAATCACAGTCGGTCATCTTCACCAGGCACAAGGATGGATGAGTGGGAGTCTGTCTTCAGAATTAATCCAGGGAATTTCACTTCCATTGTCCTAAGCCCTCCTCCCCAAGGTCTCACATGGACAGAAATTATCTACCAGGGTGTTTACCCCAAAACATCAGATCCTGTCACCCCTTTACTCATCAATGCCATGGTTTGACACAGAAGCCCTTTACAATTGTACATTCATTCACTTCCTTTGCATGAGCTGTTCCTACGTCTAGAGTGCTACTCTTCCTATGTCTAGAGTATTCTCTGCAAGAGAACACAAAATGACATTTAATCGTCAGCTCCCCCATAAAGCCCTCAATGAAATTTCCCTGCCTCCTCCCCCGCTTCACAAACCAAACCTCTATCAAGGGCACCCCATACCACAGACATGTGAGTTCTCAGCACTTCAGCACAGAAACTGCCCATTCACACATCTGTCTCCCCACACTAGACTGTGAGCTGCTCAGGGCTGGAGTCCAATCTCATCTTCTCTCCCCAGGCCTATGGCCTGGTCCACACTGGGTACATGCACTTCCTAATTAGGGGACCGGAACTCAAACTTGTCCTGGTTGGGCAGGAAGAGACATGAGTGAAATAATGAAATCCCCACCAAGGCGTGTGCACAGGGGTCTTGTCCTCAGTCTTCAGTATCCCAACACAAGAGGGGCACCTTCTAGGGTGAGCAGGTAAGGGGAGAAGTTTGTGCAAATCACAGAAAGTCCCCTTCGCTTGACGCAGAACTGAACAGCCTCCACTGGCCCAACACTTAACCTTTTACACCCCCCACCTCTACCCATTCTTTACCTTATACATCACTCCTCTGCTTAAAACCCAATAGAGTGGACTTTCCTAGGGGTACAGTGGATTAGAATCTGCCTGCCAATGCAGGGTTCAATCCCTGATCTGGGAAGATTCCACATGCTGTGGAGCAACTAAAGCCCATGTGCCACAACTGAGTCTGTGTGTCCCAACTAACGAAGCCTGCATGCCTAGAGCTCAGGCTCTACAGCAAGAGAAGCCTTTGCAATGAGAAACCTGTGCACCACAATGAAAAGTAGCCCCTGCTTGCTCCAGCTAGGGGAAGCCCATGAGCAGCAACAAAGACCCAGCTCAACAGCAAAAAGATAAAGGATTAAAAAAAAAACAACAATAGATTTACACGTACTTAAAAACCACCCTTGTTTTTATGGTCTACAAGGTTCTATGTGACTCCAAACCACCTTTCCAACCTCATCTCCTACCACTGTCCCTCTCAATGGCCATATTCCAATCACACTAGTTTTCTGTTTCTCGAACATCAGCTTATTTCAACCTCAGGGTTTTTCCCACTGCCTAGAACACTTCTCCCAGGTCTCCCTAGGACGGGTTACCTACAACTCGGCCGGGTCGCAATTGGATGGGACGTGTCGGTTCGAGCGACTTCCCCAGTAGGGGCGGCTCCACAAATTTCTGAGAATGCAAGGGTCCAACTCCCTGCCAGGGCCGAGGTCTGCGGAAAAAACAAACCCGAGGGAGGACTGGAGAAGGGCGCTTAGTCCCGAAGCTTGGAAGACGATGCGGGGCCTGGGAGCCTGGCGGAGCAGCCGCCCACCGCGCCACGCCCTTGAGCCGCACCTCCCCGCCGGGAGGCCGGCGGGATCTCACCTGGACCTGTAGCCGCGTCTCTGGTTTCCGGTGCAGCTGTCAACGGAACCGGAAGCCACGGCAGTTGCTCAGCAGCTCCGGACTCGCCCACTCACGGCTTCGCGGAGGGGTGGCCGAGCCTCCCCCTCCCGCGCACTAATAGTGAAGTCGGCCACAGGATCCGGGCGGCGTCTAGAAATTACACCTTAGATGTTTGCTGCAGCTGTGACGGGGCTCCCCTGGGCAGCCCGAGGGGGAAGGGGCTCCAGCCGCCGACGCCGCCGGCTGGGTCCCGACTTTCCACGTGTGCGGGAAGGAATCGGAGAGCAACCCACTCGCTGGCCAGCAAGGGTACGCGGGGCGGCTCAGCAGTAAGAAGCTCTAGACTAGAAATGACTGTGCCGCCCCAGCTCCCCGCCCTCCACTCTTCATTCAAAGAGAATAGCACACAATACAATGCACGTAAGGTCCTACAGTTAGCCTTTCCCGCGATGGCGCCTGACACTGGGCAATTAAATTCAGCTGTGAGGGACTCAGCCCTGCCCTGTTGCCCTCCATTGGTCGCCCTCTTTGCAGAATGTAGACACAGGGGTTGCACAACCGCCCTGAGGTGGAAGGGTTAGAGTTAGGAAGGAGGAGAGAGTATGCGGTGACCCTAAGGACTGAATTCATAACCCTCCCAGGCACTCTTGCTTTGCAGGGAACTGGTAGAGAAGCCCCTCCAGACCCACCCCCTCCAAAGGCTTCAGGGATTTGGACTAGAAACATCTCGAGAGAAAAGACTCGGTCTCTTTTTCTCTGACTTCCTGCTTCCTTTCAGGGCCAGTCTCATTCTAAGGCCTCTTGCCTTCCAGCCTTCCGTACCTCTTCCCCATCCCAACAGAACACCCTTGCACAATCTTGGTTTGTTTTCTCTATAGCACTTGCACAATCCAGTCCTGTTTTCTTTATAATCTTTGACTTTTAAATTGTCTTGAGCGTTTATTTGTTTATTCTGGTTTCCTGCCCCTAACTCTCCCCACCCTTCCTTTCAGGATAAAAGCTCCATTGGGGCCAGCACTTGGTACTCTTCACTGTTGTATCCCCAACACCCTGTGCTTGGAACAGTGGAGGTGCTCAGAAATAGTCTAAACTAGCCAATATCCTGTTTATGAATGAGGAAACCTCGGCTTCAAACCTGATGAAACTTGCAGGGAAGAGGGCGGTCAACAGCCTCTCCAGGAACCTACAAAGGTGTCAGAGCATCCCGGAGAAGCTTATTTGCACCGGGAGCCTGGGTGGTCCTGGCCCAGGTGGGAGTTGTGGGGGTCGGAGGGTTGAGTGAACCTTGCCTGGGGCCACTGATCTGAAGCTGAGTTCACTCCAGCAGGACCTCACAGGCTTTCACAAACACGCGCCCCAGGCTTCCCCACTTTGGAGGAGCCTACTTCTCATCCACACTAGAGTGTGAGCAAAGCCTACCTTCTGCCAGTACTTAGAATACCCAGCTCACATGTCAGGCTCCTTCACCTCTCTGTCATGATGGTTTTGTCACTTTTCAGGGCGCAACATGTCTTCTTACCTAGCTAATTTTGTCAATCTTTCCTCGTTGGGACTATGTGATTTTATTTCGTTTTATTGGAGCGTGGCTGCTTCAAAGCAGAAAAACTTAGCTGTTCTCCACTAACTCATATAAACAGTCTGTTTCACCTTTTGCTAATTTCCTAGGATTTTATTTTTAAAATGTAATTCCATTTTATTTTGCAGGGAATGGTGCAAAGTATGACTTATTTTTCCCCACACTTCTGTCTAGTTATCCCAGAACTGCTTATAAAATAATCCTTCCTTCCCTTCTCATTTTGGAAGCCCATTACCATAATACCAAGATTTTTCTTCAAAATGAAGTCTATTTCTAGTTCTTCATTCTTTCCACTGAGGTATAGTTTTATTTTTACACCAATGTCATATTGTTTTGGGCTTCCCAGGTGGCTCAGTGAGTAAAGAATCCGCCCACAATGCAAGAGACACAGAAAATGCGTGTTTGATCCCTGGTCAGGAAAATCCCCTGGAGGAGGACATGGCAATCCACTCCAGTATTCTTGCCTGGAGAATCCCATGGACAGAGGAGCCTGGCAGGGTCATAAAG